AAAGTAATATCTGTTCTATCTGAATTTAAGGTTGCAGTAATCAACCCACTATGTAACAAATCAAGCTTATAAATTAGAGTCATAATTCACATTTCCTATATGTATTAGAAATCTTATCAAAATGATTGCAACTCATGTTTTCCTCATTTCAATTAATATTTCTGAATCATTTCAAACAGTTTTTTCTCCAAGCTATACTACCAAAACAACATTCATCAAATTAGTAATAGATAACTTCTGTCTTCTAAAATTGGTAATACCACCATTTTTGTCCTACAAAACTAAAGTGTAGCTACTGACACCATTAATCATCAAACACTGATCACAATAAACCATTTTGGCCTCTCAAGTTAAGTCCTCTCCTGTTTCAAATCTTACCTAATAAACAGATTTCAGTACATTAGGATAAATAGTAATTACTGTCATTTATTGCAAGTAATGCGTGGAATTGCTCATGGCTTCAAGTTTTGATCCACATGCTTTCTCACTATACTGTACCTCCTCCTGCTAGGGGATATTATGTGGGGTCATAATGTAAACTTTCACTCTTACACTACACTAATGACAGGGAGTTGTGTTTATCAATCCTGCCTTGCATTGGATGACTACAAATTTTCTCAGGATGAGTTTTGACAAAACAGAGGTTCTTGTCCTCAAGGAAAATAGCCTCATGGCTAAATACTGTATAGATGGCTATAGCCACAGCTCCAAAGATACAACACATAGCCTTTGTGTGCTGCTTGAAGCAGACCTTTCATCTGACTCAGATTCAGCTGCCTTCTGTTTAGCTTGGTCAGAGCTCTGTTGAAAAGGTCTCTGCTCTGGCCTCCAATGCAATCTAGGACAGAGAGATTTCGAAGACTCGCTCCCCCATACTGTACTTAAGTGGACTGCTAACAATATGTCAGGTTAGAGCACTCTGGTTCCAGGGCAAAAGTTATCTGGTAGATCAGAGAATTTCCAAAATAACTGTAGGAGGTAGAGTGTTCAGTTATAGTGATTCTAAACTATGGAATGATCAACCCAGTTATATACGAAATGCTGCAACAGTCTCACCGTTGAACTATTTTGTTTTGTTCTTTACTACTTTTAGGTTTTAATCTGTCAGTAGAGCAGAAGATTCTGAATATATTATGTGATTTCAACCTTTCAGCTCTAACACTCTTTTTATCTTTCCATTGCCCAGATTCCAGGCCTTGTAGTATACAACTGACACGATAATCTGTGTACAGGCAACCTGTGACATGAGATTCAGGTTGCTAGCTTCGAAAGAAAAGACTTTGCAAGACCCTTGAATAGGTTTTAGACCGCATGGATTAACATATTACCCTTCACATCCCAGATTAAATACCAAAGAAGTAACCACAGTCTAGAACCTGCCCATTATACATCCTAAGAATCACTGCCCGGGAGGGAGGCAACCACTGGGCCATGTACCCCAAAGATTTAATTTATTATTTTGGGAATTTTTACTTTTCTTTCATCCATGCCGAGTGGTCTATGATATATATACTGTATATGAAACGTGTTGTACATCTTTCGGCAAAGCAGTCTGTTGCAGCCTCTCAGAAGTGTGCTGTGACAGACAGACATGGAGAAACCACAGAAGAGGTACTAAAGCTCTGCAGGTGATTATTTGAATGTGTCAAAGTCCTGTGAGTGCTTCATTTATTAAAGATTACATTAAAGAATTGATTAATCAAAAGAAGACACAGATAATATACTTCAAAGTTGTAAAATGAGACATTTCTTTCCCTTGGGATTAATCAGTGCAATTTTGCCAGTTGACTCAAAGCAATTAGCTCAATTGTTGTCAAGCTTCCATGTGGAGTCACTGCTAACTTGCTGTGGGGGAGCTGATTCAATTGGCACAATTAAAACAACAAAGTGTGTTTGGCAGAGGACATTGAAGGTGCATTTTGAAGTTCTTAGAAGGGAAAACTTTGGATAGGAGATAAATAGAAGGTGATGTAGAAAAAAAAAGAAACTGCCTAAACCGAGAGAGACAGAGGGTGCTGAGCTTGCTAAGGATGAAGAGGGGAAGATGGTGTTTGAAGAGGGGTAGTGTTCAGCAGAGCTCAATCGATCACACTGCCACCCCGCTGACAGAACCCAGAGAGTGCCAATCCATCACCGACTTAATCAGGGAGATTTTTCTCATCTCAAAGCAGAGATTTACAACATGGGGAAATTGTACAGCTGCTTGACATCACAGATAGCAGTATAACAGAAAAGATGGGCAATGAGGGGGATGTGCACAGACTTATACCATCCTCCAGAAATGTAGTGACTGCTAGGACAGCTTTTGAACCAATTAAGCTGATGCTCCAAAAAAAAACCTTGCATAGCTTCTTTTTGCCACAAAGGCTAAAGATTTCTTGAAAGATAAAAAAGAAATCTGCAGAGAATTCTTATTGTTTTATAATATTTTCTCCCATAGGGCTGTAGAAATCTTACCCTAAAAAACAAAGTGTTATATTTTACGTGACAGATTAATGACACAAATGGAAAAAATAGATTTTTTCTGGAGTGTAGAGAGATGGTATAAAAATTACAGTAGAGAATACAGGGCGTGCCACTCACCAGCTCTTTGCAAGAGTTTACAGTTTCACTGGCCAGATGCCTGCAGGTTTGGACTCAACATGCATGTTATCCTAAATACAAGAGGGAGTGAACCACCAAACTAGGTTGAAAAACCCCATCAACGATTTCATAGTGGTTAGAGCTCAAGACCATAACTGAATGGCTGTGGGTGTAAATCCTAGGTGGGGCAGTGCTATTGTACCTTCGATTAATCTACATAACTGAAAGTTCTTCTGTATAATGCACAGCTGTATATATTACAGGTTTACAGTCACTTTGGATGGAAGCATCAGCATAATTAAGATTATTATTATACCTTTGCAGATTCCAATGTAACATTATGTCCCTTTTTCTAGCTAAATAATTTAAATATATATATATATGATGTCATTTTTAAGTAACACAACATTTTTGCACAAGAAGATAGTACATGACACAAAAACACCATCCTCTCAAGCTTTTTACCTTGGCAGCTTATTTTATGTACACAAAAACAGTAAGTAAAAAGATATACATGTTTTCATAATATCAAATAAATTCAAAGTAGTAAGGCCTTTAATGCAGTAGTATCTTATCAAGCCCTTGTAGATCATTTTGAAATAACAAGCCCATTTCAATTAGATTTTTTGAGCCCACAAGCATCACAAAAACACTACAGTACAATATCTGCTGAGCTGCACACAACATTGTCTAGACAGCCATCTAGTAAGAAAGAAACAAGTTCAAAAGAAGATATATCATTGTTTCCAAAAAATAAAATACATACAGTATGCCTTTAAAAAGACTTTTAAAAGGAAAATATGTCAGTTGGTGCTTAATGCCTTTGCTGCAACTGTTAATTACACCAGCAATGTTCATATTTTCTTCCTTATTATGTAATATTACTGCTTTAGAGGATGGGAGCTTAACACAGCCATCAACACAGGCACCATCAACCATCAATGACACCACCATCATCGGGTTCATTACTGGAAACAATGACACACAATATTGGCTGGAAGTAGTTAGAACAGCCACTTGGTTGTGACCTTCATAATGTCCTTCGAGGTTATTATGGATTTCGGGCACTCACAGGATCCCAAATCCCCCATCTCTATCAATAGTCAACAATAGCCATAACCATAAGTCATTTAAATTCCTGGGCACCTACAGTATATCTGTAGCTCTCTAAAATGGCACATTGACACACACCATCTCATTATGAAGGCACATCAGAGATTGTACTTCCTCAAACAACTAAGGAAGTTTGGTTTCAGTCAGTACCTCCTTGTTTGATTGTACACAGCCATTTTAGAGAGCATTCTGACGTCCTCTATTTCTGTGTGGTACGGAAGCACAAACATCTTAACAAGGAAAAGATGTTACGAAAAAATATTGTTACGAACGCCTCAAAGATTACTGACCCCGCTCTCTTCAGTTGAATCCTTGCACACTCAACGTACCACCATACGTGCTAACAAGATTATTGCAGATCCATCTCACCCCGCGCACGACTTATTTCAGCTGCTCCCCTCTGGTAGATGTTTCAGATCACTGACATCCAAAACTTCACATTTCAAAAACAGCTTCTTCCCGACTGCTGTTAGATTGCTCAACAAGTAAATGTGCCCCTACCATCAAAAATTTAGTACTGTGCTTATGACATGTATCACATTTAAATTGCACTGATTTGTCTATATTTATATTGCAGGGCATCAACTCAGCATGTATTTTTTTTGGTATATTGTGTATTCAGGTCCTGTATTTATATTCTGTTATTGTAACAGTTACTGTATATGTCTGTAGCAAAGCTGTACCATCAACAACTTCCATCGGCCTCGGTCGTGTGGCAATAAAGATTCTATTCTATTATTTTTTCGTACAAGGGATTACATATTACTATACAACAATGAACAGTATTCTCAAAACATGAAACATAACTCATACAGTGAGGCAAAACAATCTGATTAGATTACTGTGAACCAGAATGCCGAACACATGGCACTTCAATCCATACCCCAAAGCCAAGAGGCACTTCAGCCCTTTTAATCACATTAGGCAAGGAGTTTCAAAGTCATGAAGAATAATGCAGAGCCTGTAGAGCCAAAAGTCTAAATCTGTTCTCTAAAGTTCTTTGGTCACCGCTGGTTGTGACAGCCTGGGGCTCTGTAGAATAATGAAATCTCTTTTATTGGTACCGTCACAGACGGTCAAGGCCTTGGACTCTAGCACCAGGACATGGGCTGTGCTGGCTCTAGGCTGTTATGATGAGATATTTAACACTCACATACAAGAGTGGTATCTACCTTTGTCCTGTTGCGGTACCTGTTGTTTTAATATGAACCTATTTTTTGTGACATATGGGCGTTACTTGATCTGAGAGAGCACACAGAATCTTTGAAAAGATCTACATGCTGCGGAACAGATGGGTTACTTACTGGTACAGGCGGCATCAGGGAGGTCCATGTCTCCACGGTAGTAGCCATTGCGACACACACAAATGGTGGCGGCCTCCATGGTGGATCTGCTGTTTGGCGGACACGCGGAGCACAGCCTCGACCCCTGGCTGGATTTGAAAGTCCCTGGAGGACATGCTGTAAAACAGGAGCAAAACAACCACTTTTATACCAAAAGGGGATTCTGACAGTGCCTCAAGCAAGTAAATATTCGAAAGCACAGCCAAAGGCTCTATCATAAAAGAACATAACTCTAGCAGAATATATTGTTAAACTCGTTATGCCACATATCTGATCATTTTATGTCAAAGTCCTTGCTATAAAAAAAAACATCTGAAGGCTATATGTAATGATGGTGCAGCAGAGCTGGAGTACTGTCTTAGCTTATACTGCATTTTTTCATTTGTTTGGGACAAATACCGATTCTTGTGTGCACTCTGATTCACACAGCAAGTGATTGACACCTCCTCAATAGTCCAGGGATCTAACCTAGCCACACTTAACAACCAAATGTCTCAATTCAATGTTGTTATTAATGAAAATATTTTTAAATTAGGATTTGCTTTATTTAATTTGAATATACAAGGTCTGTTTTTTGTTATCAAACAAATACACTTTTTGGTAAAGTAAATCTATTTTGAATATAGATATAGTACTCTCAAGGACATTTAGTTTTATAAAAGTAGACAGCAACATCATAACATGTTTTACTAAATGATCGTTGATCTAGGCAGGAAGTTATAAATGCTTGTATGGTAAGAGCAGGATGAATGGCAGGTGTCATGAGACAGCAGTATTCCTGCAGCTTCTAACATGCTATATTCTAAACTGCAGCAGTTGTAGTTAAAAAAAAACTTATATTGAGGTTATAACCGTATAATGAGGAAAGACAATGAAAATGCACATAAAAACAGGAAGTCAATGTGTGTTCTTGAACTACTGAAATTTGAAACCCCCAAAAATCTGGAGGCTACTCTCTTTCAAAAGACACCATTCATGGCCAATACTGCTTTTAAAACAGAATGAAAGCTATATGTAACTATTCTGCATCTATGCAATTACTGATCAAATAAATGCTTCATAACAAAAGGTCCACAAGAGAGGTTTGTATGTTCTGTAAAAATGACACAATTATTCTTTCTTTCATTGACAATTGAAAACCTTTTCTCTAAAGATGTACAGTACATTCCAAGGGACAGTTCTTCAAGTACTTCAAGTTGAATGTTTTTTATTTAACCCACTACAGTTGTTTTTTTTATTCTGATTCTTAAAATTTAGTTTTCTGGAGAAGGTATCTGGAGACATGAAACAAACCTGTAGCTGACTACCATTCTGAAAGTGAAGTGCTTAAAATGTAATTTCATAAGCCCCTGTCATCAGTAATGAACTGCTTGGCAGAAACTCCCAACACAATCGCCACTATTTCTCGGATTAAAGAATTGAGTGCAACAAACTCTACAAACACATTTCTGGGCAGCAAGATCACTCACCAAAACATATTGATTTGATAAACACAGGCTGCTAACTTCAGACTGAGTACATTTTAGATATCTCACACCCACAGCATGGAATACTTTTCCTAGAGAAAGTCCATAAAAATATATTTTTTATGTGTGGTTATTGAAAACACAAGTATTTACCCAGTAGGGTGATACTTATATTCAGCTTTTATTTATAAGTTCTAAAATACATGTAAGATGTGTAAGAATTGTAAGATGAGATAGTATTTTTGATTCTTTTATTTTTAGTACAAATAAGTGATTATGAGAAAATGGATGACATTTACACATTTGATGAAGGCTGATTTTGTTTTCATCTTGAATCCTAATTTTATGAAGTTATAGATAAATGCAATACTGCTCTAGAATGGTATGGACAATCAGCATTATTGTATAATAGTAAAAATATTTTTTTCTTAATACATTGGCATAATTGTTTACTGAAGTACCTTTAGTTCCCTTGAAGAAACCATTTTTAACTTAATTATGCCAATTAAGTTTTGTATTTTTAATGAAGTGCTTCAGCAATCTCTTTTCAACTGATTTTTTTTTCTAATGAACCCACCTTTCTCAGTGTGCATATTTAGAATCAAGTAATGTTAGACCCTTGTGGTACTGCTGATTTACCAGAAATAATCATCATGTTGTTCAATGTCTCTCCATTAGAGAAAGGCTGCCCACTATGTGGAATAGTATAAGAGAAAAAAAAACTTTTCTTATAGTCTGATTCAGACATTATACCTCAGCATGACAGAGAACATTGCATCTTTGACAATGAACAGTAGAGTATGTTGTCTTTTATGTATCAGGATAAATTATCAAACAGGATTAAGACTTTCCACATTTATAGAAACCATATTTAAGCTTTAACTTTTTTATTTTAAACTAAAGTAAAACATATACAGGATGCTTATAATCTAGTGTGGTACAGTATATAACACTGTGAAATCTGGGCTTTTATGAAGCCCCTTTATGTCTGACTTGCAAGAAATGACACACAGCACACAATTACATCTTTGAGCCCTTCCTTGCTTTGACCCCAGAAAGACACAACAGCTCCTGCATTAATTCTGCCTCATGCTCTATTGTTTTCATGATTGAGTCCTGCCCCATCCTGGAGAGAGCTGGAACAAGAAGATGCCACTTTAACGAGGACACACGAGCAAAGTGGTTGCTAAACAGCATGACAGCTCATTTCAGGCCATCAGTACCATGGCAACACTGTCCTGGAAATCCCAGCCAAGTCGAAGCTTCAGCTTAAAGAAGGGGCCACTCAACTCTATCTAACAAAGCTCATTAGCTACTTCAGTCACCCAGTTCTGTGTAGCCTCAGGCTAATAGTGGGGGGCATCATAAATAGTGTTAAGTGAAAAGCACATGGGGTTTTGAATTAACCAAAGTAACAGCAGCTAATGTCTAAACTAATATCCCCCCAGTAGGAAAATGGGAACCAAGCCATGGACATTAAACAGTGTTAAAAACTGCAAAAAAAAAAAATTTCAATCAAAGTAAAAAAAGAAATAACACTGCATCCTTCCTTGCACTACAGCACAGATCAATTTAAAACTTTTAAAATAAAAAAAAACTTCCAGTAGGAGGTTTTGAGTTATGTGTTCAAAACTGATTTCCATCAAGCATGGGGCTAAAACCTGAGCCTTAAAACAGGCCACAGGGACTGTGTATTGACCAGAATTCACATAGCAGCCAAATAAAAGAGACTGAGACAGTAAATCAGAGAAGCAATGTGGAGCCAGCCTTTTCTTGATCCTATAGGTTTTTTTTTAAAAAAGGATCTTGAAAATCAATTGTAAAAGGGAACAGAAAGCAGTCAGAGGTGACCCACATGTGGTCTGGTTTGATAATGTTCCTGGAACATCAAGAGAGGGGAACAAAAGTCCTCTTAAACTTGTTAGGACAAACACAGCAAAAAAGAAAAAAGAAAGTTCATAAGTACACATACTGTACAGGTGCATTTGGTTTTGATCATTTAAAAGATCTTACAGCATGGTACTGTATCTACTGTGGTATGAAAATGTTAAACAATAAAAAGAAGAATGTGCTTATTTCACACAGTAGGGGATGCTGCCCAATTGTTCATCATTTAATCCTAAACCATGCAAGTGTGTGGTACTGCAGGTATGAGGCCGACAGGAGAAAAGTCATGACCACACAAAGTTGCTTTACCTCCAGAGGAGAAGTCTTTACAGCTGATTTAATCTACAGGGTCTCAGTCTTCTCAATAAGCTACAGAAACAAAAAACTACTCATTTTTTGTGATTAATTAACTTATTTATTTATAAAACTTCAGCAAAAAATCTAATAGCAAAAAACACATTTGTTTCTAGACACATGACTCTAAGAATACCCACTGCAGGTTCAGCCTCATGCTGAACAGATTGCTGACCTTTTATTTTACCTGAACCTACAGAAATCAAAGAACACAAAGGAAATGCACTTTTTATGTCCTTTGAAACAACTGATGCATTTTCATAAAGTTATTTTAAAGGGCACAGAAGTGCTCTTCATTCATTTCATGCACCACTTCAACCTTTGTCAAACAGGTTAAATACGTGCTATTGTTCCCAATCTTGCAGTCCACCCAGTTTCCCTTAAATGCTGATTACGTGACAAAATTACTGTTACTGTGGGACAAGACAGGGGGAAGATTCCACACCGAAAGACAGCCAGTCCAGGTGGTGATGGATCTCTGTACCAACACTGAGCAGCAGAGCAGGTGCATTCCACAGAACAGCCCGCCAAACCTCCAGAGGCTCTAGACCTGAACAATACATGGATATCAACTATGAGCATGGAAGGATATATTTAACTGGGCCACGGAGGTCAGCCTTTGTTCTAGGAACTGTCGTATGAATCAGATTACAAAACCACCACCAGGGCATGAACTGAAAGAAATGTCTGTCAATCTGCACAGGTTGTTTGGAAAGATGCATGGGAGTCACAGGTACAACACAATGCAGAATAATGACTCTCTACAAAGTTTACACTGCGCTGGCAAATATTTTTTTCTAGACCTTCTGTGTAGACTAAATTGACATACATGTACAGTACATCTAAAATTAGCTCATATTATGACGATGTAAACAGTGAGCACAATGTGTCACGATCGTAAACCCCTCTTATATCCCTCTTAAAGGAGGCTCCAGCCCTACCTTGTTTATATTCATCTCCAGCACCTGCGTCCGATTCCAGCCCCCTGTCTTATAGAAACCAGATGTTCCTGCCTATCGGGGCTCAGCTTTGGAACATGGATGCCTGGAAGCCCGCCTACCCGCGAGTCCAGGAGCGACTCGACGCCACAGGCTTCACTACGGCGTCCTGACCATCTGGGTCAGGGATCAGGGAGCGTCTGGTCCCGTTACCTCCTTTTTATTCCCCGACCCTCCACCAGATCCCACTCCAGTTTTTAACTCTTCCGTATGTCTGTCAGGATGGATTACCCGGATTTGGACTTTTGCTTCACTCATGGATTTGCATCGGACTCCCTTGGACTGTTTGCCTCGGCCACACCTCCCCAGAACACCAGCGCACCATGGACACACCCCCTGTTTTCCTTCCAGCCCCTTGCATGCCTCTTTCCCCGTGTTTTCCTCACTTCCCTCCGGATCGTGTTGTCAGCAT